TTTTTTTTCCAGATGAAACGGAGTCTTCGAAAGCAGGTGGTGCAGACAGCGGACGTCTTGGAAGTGAACTGAATCGTCTAAGGAATGATCATAAACAAGAGTTGATTGCCGTTCGTCAGACAGCAGCGAAAACGTTGGCCGAAGCATTGAATGATCAACAGAAGCAATTAAATCTGCAGTATGTTTTATGCAGAATCTTACCATATCGACTTGACTAAGCATCATATGTTTCACGACAAGGCCGATCTTTCAATGACTGCCATTTCGGATCAGAATATATTTCGCAATATTGAGTTTACGTATATTTTCTGGGCGTTGATGGGTGCTGTGGTCTGAACTGTTGATCTTTTGGGAAGTATCGCGAGTAATGTATACAAAAGTTTACTCAATTTGCCAAACAAAAAGTTCAGAAAGCATACGACCCACCGGTGGGTCGTACCGAAATGGCAGGACATGTACGACCCACCGGTGGCTCGTGTCTTGATTATGTTAAACTGTCTACTGTTTAAGGCTAGAACGAGAGCGACGACAATGGGAAGTGCGATTGGTCAGTGAGAAAAATCAACTGGAGAAGAATTTCGCCGAAGAGAAGATGAAGCTGATGAATCGGTTGCAGGTTAGGGCTCTAAGAATATCTTTTGGTACTTTTCACTGCAAGTTCTCCATATGTAGGGGTCTTGACTTGTTTTTCATCGCTCATGATCTTTTGCTATCATAATTCATTATTAGGAAGATTTTGATGCTGAATTGCAACGGATATCATCCATTGTCAACCGTCCAGAGAACGGAACTGCCGCTGAGCATTATAAGCGTCAGATCAAGGTTGTCAGTTTTTGGATACAACTTTTTATTTTTCAATCCATCACTTTCTAGACTCTCGAATCTTCTCTCGAAAATCAGAAGAAGAGCTATGAGCGACGATTGGCTGAGCTTCGAGAGCGATTCAAAAATTCACTTCGTTCCCATAATAACGTTTACCTCTCCGAGAGCAGTACACCAAATTTCTTCTCCCTCGTAGAAAAGTATAAGT